GAGTGAATGTAAAGATGCTGCCACTCTGTTTCAAACACCAGTGAGCGTCTACAGAGACACAATTCAAAGGCATAGTTTCGTGATTCTATTTTAGCATGTCTGCAAACTAGTGTAATCATATTGAATGTCTCAGTCTGTGGTGTTTTTGACCAGCAGAGGGCTTCGTTCAGTCTTTCAGCGTCTGCTTGTGTTATATGTGTTGTGTTTAACATATTAATGTTGCAACTTTAAATGTTTTATGAGAAAGAATCTAAATCTGAAATGATTTGACCATATTACCATTATTGACCAGAAAGCAATAAAAAGGGAAAATTACAATAATCTTTATGGAGACCTAAGATTAGTTGTCAACAAAAAACGTACAATTTTATTAAAATACTTCCCATATTTATTTGTGGATTTATAGTGCTGTATCATTTTCATGGTGCCTGTACTGTATATATACTGTACCATGAAACTAATTGGTATTTGAATGATTCTCCAAGAGACCATGGTGTTATTTTAATGTCTTTTTTGATATTGTCATGTCTAGTTTTGAGTTTTATTTCATGTTTGTGTAAGCACAGTGTGGTGAGTGTGTATGTCGAGTCGAGTGGTGTCATGTTAAGTTATGCTTAGTCGAGTCTTTGTATTGTATTTTGATCACACACTTGTGTTCTGCAACTTTCCTCCAGTGGTTTCGTTACAGATATTCAATAATCTATTTATTATTTCCTTGATTAATGAAATGCAAAATGTAATTTCTGTATATTACCGAAAAAGCATGTTATTCCACATTAAATAAATGAAACACGTGACACTCACAGTGAATCTGGACAGTATGTAAGCGCCGGCTCCGACTCCAACACCGATAATTGTGCGGAAACTAAACCAGATGAAAATAATCAGCCGTAAAGCACAGATTCGTGATATGTATATGTCATGTATATTATGATTGTGACTAGATTTAAAGGTGCGATGACTTGTTGTGACTCACTTGAAGAACTGCAGGACGGCGGGAAGCATCTCAGAGATCTGATCCATGGTTGCGTACTGGTATCTGTCAGAGAAAAACAAACATTTACAGGACTCTTAACACGTCTAACGCGAGACACAGCGGCCTGAGGACACGCAAACGCATAAAAATAGACTCTGAGTCACAATCTACATCACTAACACCTTCTGAAGAGCTGAACATGGTTTGACAGGTGTCAAACAGCGTGTATATAAAATGTTCACACTTTATATATATATATAAACATCACGTACCCAGCAGGATAAATGGCCGCGCCCTCCTCCTGTCCTGGAGCGTCCACATGAACCACAGTGAAGTTCTTCACGATCTCCTGCATCTCCTCAAACTTAAACAGGGTGGAGAAGCAGCTCTTACCTGAGAGACACAGAGAACCAAACAGCATTTCACTTAAAGTGTCTTGACCTGAGGTTAAAGTGTCTTGACCCAAGGTTAAAGTGTCTTGACCTGAGGTTAAAGTGACTTGACCCAAGGTTAAAGTGACTTGACCCGAGATTAAAGTGTCTTGACCCGAGGTTAAAGTGACTTGACCCGAGGTTAAAGTGTCTTGACCCGAGGTTAAAGTGTCTTGACCCGAAGTTAAAGTGACTTGACCCGAGATTAAAGTGTCTTGACCCGAGGTTAAAGTGACTTGACCCGAAGTTAAAGTGTCTTTACCCGAGGTTAAAGTGTCTTGACCCGAGGTTAAAGTGTCTTGACCCAAGGTTATAGTGACTTGACCCAAGGTTAAAGTGTCTTGACTTTTAGGATAAAGTGTATTGACAGGGTTAAAGTGACTTGACCCGAGGTTAAAGTGACTTGACCCGAGGTTAAAGTGACTTGACCCGAGATTAAAGTGTATTGACCCGAGGTTAAAGTGACTTGACCCGAGGTTAAAGTGACTTGACCCGAGATTAAAGTGTCTTGACCCGAGGCTAAAGTGACTTGACCCGAGGTTAAAGTGACTTGACCCGAGATTAAAGTGTCTTGACCCGAGGTTAAAGTGACTTGACCCGAGGTTAAAGTGACTTGATCCGAGATTAAAGTGTCTTGACCCGAGGTTAAAGTGAATTGACCCGAGGTTAAAGTGTCTTGACCCGAGGTTAAAGTGTCTTGACCCGAGGTTAAAAAGTGTCTTGACCCGAGGTTAATGACTTCACAATGAAGTTTTTTAAAACAGAAAAACTACATACAACACAACTCATTCATAAATGCATTTGTCATTTTATTCAAAGCACATTCAAAACTACACCATAGGCCGAAAATGCTGAACGTGGCTAATGACACAAACAAAAAGGATAAAACAATTAAAAAAAAATTGTCACTATTTAGCAAAATATGAAGAAAAATGTGCCCTGTTTATCACACTAATGATAAACTAATGATTTAATGTTTAACCAGGAAGTTTTTGTTTTGAAATACCTTTAACTTGTACATAATAGCACAAAGTCACACTTGTGGTGATCCCAGTCAAAAATGACTGGCCTACAAAAAACAGCTTATAAATCTATCGTATGCTAGCCTGGATGCCAGCCCGAACCCCGCCCACAACATTTTTTGATCGGGAAGTTCGGTCTGGACTTGCTCCATTGAGGAGTAATTATGATCGGTTCAGAAATCGTCGGGCCAATCAAATTGCCAGGGCGGGCTTTATACGATGATGAACAGATGATCTGCAGGGACGTAATCCTCACGTTATCAAAGAGCGCTTGGGTTGAACTGGTTTCCCTCAAAGATGACTGCAGCTGGAGAACTGAGATGTAGAGATTCCGCTATCGCGTCCGTTGTAAAAGAAATCGACAGCGCATTCATTTTAAAAGACGAACAGAGAACTGCAATCAAGGCCTTTGTCGATCGGAAAGATGTGTTTGCCGTCCTTACTATGGGATTCGGCAAAAGTTTAATTTATCAGCTGGCTCCGATGGTAACTAAGAAGATGGGACGCAATGAAAACCCTGTGGTCGTTGTGGTTTCTCCTTTGGTCGCACTCATGGAGGGCCAAGTAAAAGAAGCAACACTCATTATTTTACTACTTCTTCCAGCGTGCGTGCATTTGAGTTCTGTAGTTGACAACTGTGCTATGCAAAGTAGTTGACTAACTACGTTGCTCTCATTGGTTGTAGGTCTATCCAATTGAGTGCAGAGTTTTTTTTTTTCCTGGTTCGGTTAAGACACGCCTCATAATCAAAGCCCTATGAAGCAGTATCAGACTCACATTCTGACTAGAATATGAGTATGACGAAGTCAGGCTAATCGTATGCTGTATTATCACCAAATATTGGATTCAATCGTTTTGTACTTGTTTTCTTTCAATTAATCAAACATTTCAAAAGAACTGAATCTGATTTTTTTTAGGAAACTGAGAAATGTGTTTTGTTAATATTTTGATTGATTTATTAATTCAATCATTCATTAAAAAAAAAAAAAAAAAAATACACAGGCTACTGTTAAGATGTCTAATTACTGAAGGAATCGTTCTTTTAGGTCAAATCTTTTAAATTAATAATTTGAACTCACAAAACTAGTCTCACTTCTGGCAAATATTCCAGTTACTAAAAACTCCACATGCAATAATATAAACTTCTAGCAATACATCAGTTTATGTTTTATGTGTTTATTTTGGTACTCATGCACTTTACCTCTGTTTGTCTAGTTAAACACACTCATCAAGTGTTGCACTGAGTGTGAAGAGCTCATTGTTAGGTGTGATGTGCACAGATGCCTTTAAACCACCTATGGTATTAATAGATGCAGCAACACTTGTATTGAATTCAATGTTTGTGATGCATTTCCAAGAAACAAGGTGCTTTTTTCACACCTGCCTCCAATAAATATCAGTCCAGTGATCGTCTCAGACACGACTGACTCTTCCTGAACTCCAGCTCACACTCATCGAGACTACAACGAGACTTTACACAAGCTCAAGAACGACACAAAGGTAAACCTGCATCATAATCAAATGACTGAAACATTTAAAGCAATATGATTTCAAAAAATAAATGTGTAGATATACTGAGAATTGGTGTTTAGCTGTTTTGTTCATGGATGAAGGCTTGTTCAGTGTAACACATGTAAAGCAGATGTAATAATTTTATGAAAATGAACATACTCAGTATTGTGTGTCTGTGGTTAGTTGTTCAACCTGACAAGTTACAGTTTTACAAGTGTACATCATGTTGCAATAACTCCTCCAACACGACTCACTTCTGGTCTACGGCTAGTGTTCACTCTCTTACTGACCGTCTTCCTATCCTGCTCTTTTCTCTAGTTTTCAGGATGAGACCAGCTCTTCTCTCGCTCCTCTTCATCCTGGCTCTCAGTGATGGAGCGGATCGCCAGAACATTGACCGATACGCCGAGTTCAAGCGGAAACACATTCTCCCGGCTGGGTTTGAAACTGATAATGAAACTGCTTGGTTGAAATACCTAGTGGACAATACTCTCTGCGAAAGAACTCAAGTGCAATCCTTCATCAATGACAGCGTAGAAAACGTAACACGAATCTGCAATGGCGCTGGAAAGATTATAAAGAACAACTATTACAAAAGTACACATCTCTTCCAAGTGTACAAGATTGAAAGCAAAAACAGTACCACGTTAGATTGGGAGTGTACCATTGAGAAATGTCGTAAAGCCAGATATAATGTAATTGTTGAATGTGATAATAATCTACCTGTGCACTATCACGATCAACACATTGAAAAGGGCAAATCAACATCCCTTTGCTATTAAACCGCATAATGCTGGGAGAGATGGCATGAAATCTTGCTTTTAAACTATTAATCAAAACGCCACATGCATGTCTAAAGTGGATATAATCCCAGAAGCATCTCGATAAAGCTTTCTCTGCAGAGCACAGTTCGGTTTTATAAAATAAACTGATCAAATGTATAGCTTGGATGAATGAAATGTAAGTCACTTGTAATAAAAGCATCTGCAAAATTCATTAATGCATCTGTTCTTTTGTGAAATGATTTTAAATATATGTGAGGTATGATATGCAAAGTATTGTTTAGACTCTAAAGAGTCACACTTAAAAATGTCTGAGCGTAAGTTCAAGAGTCTCAAACGCTTCACTAATGTCACTTTTCTTCATCATGTCTGAAGTGTGTGTGAATCAGCTGGCGTTTGGGGGATTTTTAGAAGATGTATGAAGTCATTCACACAAGTGACTGTTTATAGAGACACGTCACTTTATTTCATTCTCATTTTTATTGTGGTAAAGTGTGAATTTCACAGGCAGAATCTCCAAGATGCATCTGTTTCAAACTGTTACTCTAGTGCATAGATACAATAGGATCATTTGCATCAAGATATTAGGCTTTATATTAGGCTTTAGCACAAGTTTGATTAGTTATAAAACATTCAACTTCACCAGGTTTGAATGATCACACACTGAAGTCTACATTGCAGGAAATGCTGACGTCAAACACACTAACGTTTGCATGGGAAGAAACCTTGTTAAAACAGTTTCACACATTTGTATTCTTTCGCAGCACAGAATATTGAAGAACTGAGACTTGTTGAGACTATATTAACATCTAAACAGGTAAACTGACACCATTGTGTAAAATTTTTTAAAAGTGTTTCAATATACTCAGATCTGTTTTATGATATTTGCTGTAAATGTGTATGGTTTGTAAATATTGCACATAATCTTTATGTTTCGCAGCCAAAAACTATTAAGCTAATAACTATTTATGCTATAACTTTTAAACCAAATGGACTAGAAACCAAATTCGCTACTTTTCCGAACTCGTGCTTTAAAGTAATCTGATACAAATTTGGCTGCGTTGATAAAAGTCACCATCAAATTAAAGTTAAAATTATAAAATTTGCTAATTATAATTACAGTGAATTAGATAAAAGCAATGTAAACAAACTGATAAATAAATATATGTACAGTATTTGTACAAACCATGGTCAAAAACATATCAATGTAATATTATATATGAATACTTAGATTTTTTTCAAGGTCAATCATTAACATTACTGCCATTTTGAACTGATTAAACTGATGAAAAAAGTTAGTCAAAACAGATTATCTCCGTTTGCTTGTAAAATGTTATTGAGTTTGGTTCAACGAAGCATTGAGAAAATAGCGTTTAATTTTTTAGTAAAGGTGCCGCATACCTACGTATGCATGTATTACACTGTCGAAATAGTTCATTAGCTTGCGTTCATTATCGTTTTCACTATTTTAACTGTGAATCTGTGTTTCTCTTCTGTGTCCAGGATGAGATCGGCGCTTCTTCTCGTGCTCTTGTTCACTCTCAGTGATGGATCGAGTAACGTCAGTTTCAGCGACACTGAACCGGAGGTGTTTCCAGACCTTTTTTCTAACTGGCTACAACCCTGCGAGAGATCTCGCGATAACA